ATTCTAACAGATCATTCGACATCCTTCCTTCATTCATTACTACTGTCTATGCATTAATCCCTTGCACATATTGTTTATTTGGTACACTATTCAATTGGTATCAGAGCCAATTTTTCATCATACTTTTTTTTGTAAAAACTGGGTAATCTTCCTTACTGTACTAGAACTATCTGAGATCCTTTTTTAGACTATTTTGATCAAATATTCTTGGGAAGATCAGATTTTCAAAACACTTCAGCCAATCGTAAAACTCATGTCTCTTTTAAAACTCGTTCATACAACTATCTTTATGGTTGTAATTCATAGTTTTGACATTTGTAATCATTTGGCGTAAGTTTCATATCGTGATATTGAAGTTTTAAATCTGTTTTAGTTTCGTGAAACGAAGAGGAAAAAACTTTCGTGAAACTTGCATTTTCGTAAAAGTCAGAGTTTTCGTGAAAGTCATTTTTCCGTAAAAGTCCTCGTTTTCTTGAACCTTTACATGTTTCGTGAAATCCCAGTTTTCACAAAAGTTTGGATCTTTCGTGAAAATTGAATCTTTTCTGACACATTGTTTTTTCGTGAAAATTTGTTTTTCGGTAAAAATCTGCCTTTTTCGAGAAACATTGATTTTTCGCAAAACTTTACTTTTTCATAAAAGTTTGAGATTTTGTGAAAGCTTGATTTTTATAAAAGTCTGATCTTTTTCGTAAAACATTGACTTTTCGTAAAAAGTTTGAATTTTCACATAAGTTTGATCTTTCGTGAAGAGTTGATTTTTCGTAAAACATAACTTGTTCGTAACACATACTACCCAATCACCAGCTTGTCACACTCCATTCATCAAATAATCACACAAATTGACGTTTACCCAATGGGAAGTGATAAGAGACCCCCGTCCTCCGAGGGGTGTAAACGAGGGGTGTAAACACTTAAAACTAATTAATAAAATCCGGCCAATACCTTTATCTGGTCTTCAAACTCGTTGGTTGGCAGCAATCTATAGGAATGCGAGTCAGCTCTAGTACTTCCTCAGTATTCCTAAATGAATGTTTGGTAGACATAAGTCTATACCTTTTAGATTTTATATAATTTAATAGTCTCTAAAAACATCTAGTTAAGTTTGACACAATAACAATTAAGAATTTTTAATAACCAAATAGATTTTTTTAGAAGCTACACTAAGTTGCTCTTGAAAGAATTATGTCGGGCTTTGGACATAAATTAGTCACAACAACTTGTTATGTGAAATAGAACTAAATCAAACAGTCAATTTTATCAAACAATTTTCAAGCATGCCCTAAGTCGGAGTTAAGACTTGAACGAGTAGCGGATCAGCTTGAGAAGGAAGAAGTGACACTCCATTGCATCTGATTTGTTGCATCTCAATCAGAACAAGTTGGATTGTCCTCAAATCTTGGTCTCTAGTTTGTTAAGATTATATAGTCATAGTGGGTAGATTGGTTTCAATTCTGTTTTATAGGTTTCAGTCAAGTTTTATGAGTTTTTGGTTCAATTCGATTTGAAACCATATAATGTTATGATTCGGTTTAGTTTGGGTAAATTCAACTCGGTGTGGATTTGATGTTTTTATAATCAAATTAATTTTTTATTGAATTGTATAGTTTAATTTTATTCGATTTATTTCGACTTTACAAAACTGAGAATTGGACTTTATAGTAAAATTGAGGACATTTAATCTTGAAAGCTTAGAGCATCTCCAATGGTAAAATGTGCACGGTGCACATGTGGCATGAGAAATAACCACATAAATATTAGTAAATAAATTCTTTCTCTCCTTATTTGAATGATTTTATATAGTTTTGGTAAGTTTTTCTCCACAATGTCAAGGAGACCGTCTAGATGTTGACATTGTTGTTGACATTGCAGGGAAAAACTTACTAAAATTGTATAAAATCATTCAAATAAGAAGAAAGATTATTTATTTGCTAATATTTATGTGGCTACGATGCATGCCACATGTGCACCGTTCACATTATAGCATTGAAGATGCTCTTATGAATTCAGACTTTCATGTCAAAGATATTGAGCGAAACAATTAAAGAAGCTTTTCTAATTTGAAAAATTAGCTTTTATGTTTATTTTCTCAAAGAAACAAAGTGTAGATAATATTATGGAGCCACTTAATTAGAGAATTTGAAAGGATCATTGCCTCTTTTTGGGTGATCGTGAATCCCAAGCTAAGAGACTCGCCGAAGAAAAAATACTAATTATTATGCTAATTCATATTGCCTCCAATAAAGATGACTTTACAGGTAATCAACACTCTTTAACACTAGACAATGAGAGTGGGCAGGGTTATCCATATTCAGAGGATGATTTTTAGGCCATGCTTCAGATAGCGAGAAGAGAGCCCCTTTATCATCAATGGAAGATCTTTGGGACTCTGATTCAAATAGGGAGATTTGTAATAAAGCAAAGTTGATCACTAAGGACAATTATTTGCCTACAACGAATTTAAACACTCAACTTAAATTATACAGGAAAAAGTACCAGCGATCGCACAACATGAGGACTAGATCCCAATCTCGAGTGGAATTCTGCCTGGATGATTGAGCTATTTGAGTCTCTTGAGTGGTCCTTTTATTTATACTTTTGGTTGGGACATTTTTATGTTTATTTTCTTTTTGTCATTTCTGTTTTCGTTGCTTTTCTCTTCCTTTAATGTACTTTACTCATCTTCAATAAATTTTCCTTTTTTCAAAAAAAAAAAATTCTTAGCATAGACAAGTCTCAATTCTATTATTTGCTGAGTAAAATTTAAGAAATAACTGGCGTGTCTACTATTATATTTCCAAGGCCTCAAAAGTTATTATTTCTTCTTGTTCTTTAGAAGATGAATAATGTTTTGCTATTTAGCAATGCAAAAACCACAATTTACATTGTGTTGGATCTCATTGTTTCCTTTATTCAAATGATTAATGATCTGAATAAGTTATTTAAAAAAAATTGTTACACATTAAGTGGGCCAAGCCCAAAAGCCAAAATAAATAACTATACAAAATAGGCTAATATTTATAAAACTAGAAAATCTAATACCCCTCAAGTTGGAGCATGTAAGACACAATGCCCAACTTGGCTAATAGAGAATCAATTTGTTGTTTCCCAAGAGCTTTAGTGAGGATGTGTGCACATTGCTGAGCTGTGGGAACATAACGAGTGCAAACGGTGCCTCGAGTAAGCTCATCACGAACAAAATGACAATCCACTTCTATATGTTTGGCCCTTTCATCATTTTCATGAAATGCCGCGGGATTGGCGGCAATATAAAGAGCAGCCGTGCTATCACAATGTGTGGTCATGGGCAAAGAGTGAGAGACACCGAGACAACGGAGAAGACCATGGAGCCATTTGAGCTCACAAGTAATGGCAGCAAGAAAATGATATTCGGCTTCAGTCGAAGAACGGACAACAATATGTTGTTTCTTGGTTTTCTTTAATGTAGCCGAAGAACGATAGTGTAGCGAATTATTTAAATAATATGTATTCTATTTATGATCAATATAATTGTATAGTATCCCTATCACACAAGCTAGGGATAAAAAATAAAACAAGTAATTAAAGGCATAAGGAACAACATAAAAGCCGCTTCACTTGGAATGTGTTCACCTTTAAACAAACCTTATACTCCATTGTGTTCACCACTTCACTTCTTGGCTACCTTAATAATCATTTAGAATAGCATATGTTTGACTCATTAATCTTTATATGAGTAACGCTCGAATGGTAGCTTGATAAATTATAATGTAATACGAATTAGAATGAGTAGGTTGGTAAAAGTGAGAAGTAGAATGGTTTGATCCTAACTTTTCTTTGTTTGAGCCACATGAATATATTGACGAGAGAACAATGAGTTATTGGACATTGAATCGAACGAGCTAATCCACTAAATCAATCTTTTGTGTTGTTCGACATATATATGTATCACACAAAGTTTAGAATGAGCTAATCCCAACTTAATTAGACTACGGAGTATTACATTATGAACATGTGTCAAACTAGTAGTTACCAATTCAATATAATAAAAATGTGATACACAAAAGAATGAAACTTTCACCACATATATAGTCAAAAGGACATTCTTTTTATGAAAAAGAGATCATGCATGCCATTGTCAATCATTTCAGCAACTGCTACAAAAATTTAAGTTTGAAATTATTTTGCATAGCACCATCAAAATTTATAATCCTGCCTATTACTAATCAATTTTTATTTATTAAAATTTATATATTCAGAAACTATATTAAAATCTCTATAAAATTACAAAATCCAAATTAGAATATAATTAAAAATTGATTTTCTAATTAAGTTAATAAAATGAAACTTTTGGACTAAAAAATTTACTTTGCTAATCAATTTGGGACGAAAGTAGGAAGAGTTTCCATAAATGTAACCAAATATGAGATGTGGTGAATATTTTGAGCCTATTTTCTTTTGGACTGTTTTCGGTCCCAACCAAACCAGACCAAATCACACTTCCATAATTATAAAATACACATAGACCACACATCTACCAGACCAAATCAGATCAGTTCATACCAGGCCAGAACTGAGGCAAACAAATTAGGAATGAGATTACTTTGTAAACAATATCTACTCGAGAAAATCAAGTAGATGTATGAAACACACTAGAATGCTCACTATATACAAGTATTTTCGAACAAACTGAGGCAAACAAATTAGGAATGAGATTACTTTGTAAACAATATCTACTCGTATCTCAAAAGCTGAAAGAAGGAATGGTCTACCAAAAACGTACTGAATTAGGTACTCAAATAATTCTGACCTGTAATGTAGGTCATGGTTGTAAGCAGAGCAGAAGCATTGTAGGGCGGACAATGTGTTCGGTCTTCTGCCATCACAAAACTCCGAAGATCTGTGCCCTTTTTGTCCCTCACTTTTCCATCATTTTGGTCCCTTTTCTATCTTCCATCTCCTCCAATGCCTGTATATATATGTCACTCCACTCTACGTCTTCCTCACTCACCTTCCAGAAATTAAATTCATAAGAAACTGTATACAGAGATAATCGGATAATCAAAGATGTTGAGTGGCAGAGAACAGAGGACGGAGTCATTGTTCGAGAAACAGATCAAGTTCACCAGAAATGGCAGCTTGAAGGCTCCGGCGAAGAGATCGTCATCGCAATCGGCTCATCCTCTCCGATACTATCTCAAGCGCTTCAGCGGAAGTATGGCGGAGGCTCTGCGGATGATTTCGCCGGTGAAATGCCGCAAACTTGACTCTTCATCATCGTTTTCGTCATCATCTTCATTTTCATCGCACTACAGCAGTAAATCATCGAGGCAGCAGGGGATGGTGGCCGGAAGCAATTATTCGTGTACAGCTTCCGCTCCTCGCCGGAATTCAATCGGAACTGAAGATCACAGAGCTGAAGCGATAGATGATTGCATCAAATTCATCAACGCCTCCTTGTCTAGATCAAAGTCACTCGCTTCTTATAGTTGTTAATTTATGACAAAGTAGCTCCTAATTAGTTTAGAACAATTAATTAGTACTTTTTTTTATTCATTTGAAAGGATTAATTTGTACGTATAATGCCTTTGGGATCAGTCGATCAGATCAACTTATGATCGAGTGGTGTGGAAATTAATCAAAAGGTAGAACAATTAATTTGTATTCTTTTGAACCTGTTGAAAGAAAACGTGTACTTCGAATGAGCTGAGGTCGGTAAGGTTTGCCTGATCATAAGTTTGATTACTTGAAGAATCAACATGTCATCTGTATCATATACTCATATTATTAGTACATATACTCGAACTTACACAAAAGTGCAAATCAACCCTTATATAGGATGCTCTGTCCAGCCGTCGCCATTTGGGGCAGTTCTCGATGGAATTTTTTGATGGAATTTTTTGAGCATCTTCTTCATTAAGTCTAGTTTACCCAATTACCCATACCAAAATTCATCTAAAAATTCGATCGGGAAGGCAGTCAGATGAATTTTTGAAGATAACTGCACAGTTAAACAACGCAATATATTTCAGAATAAAAGTATCTAAAAAGTATCTAAAAACATTTAATTGTATATTTGACACAATAACTAAGATTTTTTATTATAAAAAAGACAAAAGACCTTTTTTATGGAGATTACATTGAGTAGCTCTTGAAAGAAGTATGTGTCTTTTAACATAAATTAGTCACAACAACTTGTTATTTGAAACAGAAATAAATCAAGCAGTCGGTTTTTATCAAACAAATACACTTTATTTCTATTAATATCTTTTCAATCATAAAAGTTAACAATTATTAAAAAGTACATAAAATATCATTTCAAATAGTTATGCTAAGCTTGTCCGATCCTATGCAGAAGTTATGACTTAGACAAGTAGCTGATCAGCTTGAGGAGGAAGAAATTACGTTCCATTGCATCTCAATCGGAATAGGCTGGATTGTCTTTCTCAAATTTCGGTCTCCAATTTGTTAAGAATTATATAGTCAGGGTGGGCAGATTGAATTGCATGGTTTTGCTTTATCGGTTTTAGTTCAATTTTATGAGTTTTTGGTTCAGTTATGGGCAGATTACATTAATTTCTGCTTGGATTTGATGTTTTATAATTATACGAAGTATTAAAGTTTTATTGAATTTTATAGTTCAAATTTATTCGATTTAATTTGACTATAAAACTGACGTTTAGAATTTTGATATTGAGGATATTTGATCTTGAATGTTTATGAATTGAGACTTCAATCGCTTCAAGTAAAAGATATCGGGTGAAAGAAGCTTTGCCCAAATCGAAGAATTAGCGTTTATGTTCTCAAGGAAACAAGGAAAAAAGGACAAATTAAAATGCTAAGAAGTTATAGTTTGTACAATAAATATTATTTTTTAGCTTTTTTCTTTGGTACAATCACTACCATGTGCTTTTTACTTATGAAAATTACTTGGAATAATGCTAAACTTTCATTTTGTGTTACGTTATTCATGTAACAAAGTATCAATTCATGGAATAGTTTCCAAATTTGACAAAAGTCTAGGTTACAAGAAATTTCATCTATAATAATTCTTAAGGATGCTCAAAAATTAATGCACAAATTCAGGGGCGCAAACTAGTGAGCAAATGAATTGCTTTCTTTTGATTTGAAGGCCAAAATAATGAAAATACATTCTCTACTTCCCTCTCTACAAAATATGGGGATATAAATCCATAAGAATAGTTGTATGCAATTAAAAACAATTTGGGGGGAACTGTAATAGTTTGTGGAGAATTGCCTAAACTGGTCTAGTCTTGATCTAGAATCACAGAGCTGGTCTACACAGAGTTCTACTTCAATTTATACTGTCACAGATATTTTGGGATAAAACTTGTTCTTAATATAACTATGCAGTCCACAACTGCTAGATTGTATTCTACATAAAATGAAATGACATAATAAAATTTACAAACCAAAACTTGTACATATATGAAAATGTGGTCGATTGAACTTTCATCTTGTTTTTGTTACACATTCCAAATATTTGAGAATTATTGTATTTCAATTATTGAACCTGTCAACCCATTCTTAGATTGTCTTGTGCACATTCCTCTTTTAAGAATTTTCACAAACCTGGGCTTAGATTAGTGAGGAAAGAGAAGGTTAGTTAATAGTCATCCACAAACTACCCAAATACCAAAAGCCTATCCACTCCTCTACGATCGGGGACGGGATAATTGATAGTCCGATGTGATCGGTTCGAGCATTAATCCGGATTCCAACTAGAGCGTGATGTATACAAGCATGGTTTTAAATTGCAGTTGCGGTCGCGGTTGCGATTGCGGTCGTTGCGGTTGCGGCTAATGCGGCCGCTGCGATGCGTATTGCGGCCGCTGCGGCGTGAATTATTTTCAAGTGCTCACCAGAAAGAATGATGGACAGGCGGAGGCGTTGCGGTCTGTTGTGGTACGTCGCGATCGATTGCGGCCTGTTGCGAGATGTTGCGGTGCCATCGTGGTTACGTTGCGGTTTCGTCGCGATTACGTTGCGGTTTTAGCCGTGATTCCAAATCATAAGGGTGTTGCACTGTTGCGGGATGATGCGGTTGCGGTGCCCTCGGCAACCGCAATATTGCGGCCGCAATTGCGGTTGCGGTCCGCAATTTGAAACCATGTATACAAGTATGCCCTATTAGCATCTTAATTTTTAATTAATCACTATTGGACCCCTTATATTTTATAGAATCTCCAAGACATGCTTTCCCCGCAACACGTGAAATTTGTCAAAATAGTTAGCCTGGTGAATCCAATAGGGTTCATAATCATGTTTGGTCTTTCTGCTCCCAAAATATTACTTTAACAAAGAAGTGTAGAACATAGAAACACAAATGTCTCTCTTGACTCTCGTATCCTTTAGACCATTTTTTTTTGTTTTTGCAAGGGCTTGATCATTTAGACCAAATAAGAGTCGAATGACCTATTGATAAAGTCACTTTTACCGTCCTTTTGGTGATTTCTATTTCCGGCTCATCAGCCTTATAGTGTAGTATGTATTAGGGATGAGCATAAAAAACTATAACCGATTAACCGTATAAAAAAAATCGAAAAACAGGTGTTTTTGTCGGTTAACCATACCGTGTTTTAAAAAACTCACGGTATGATTAACCAATCTAAAGAAATAACGGTACACGATACAATTATGATTTTGAAATAAAACTACGCCGGTTAACGGATAATCCAAATTTAAGTTATTACTTTCAAAGTTAAGAATTCGGAAGAAGGTGGATTGAAAAAGAATCGACACATTATTTAACACATTCTTGGTTGTGAAGAGAAGCTCAAATGAAAAATGAAATCGATGGATAAATACTCAATCATCCGACTAATTATTTAACACTCCGTATATTCTAAGAAGTTGTTCTCTTCATCTAATCTGAATGTTTATGATATGAATTTTTTAAGTTCTGACCTGATTTGATCGGAATTTTTCTGATCTGATCTGAATTTTTCTGATTTGATTTGATCTGAATCTTTCTAATTTGATCTGAATCCCTCTGATCTGATATGAATATTTCTATAATTATAATTATAATTATAATTATTAAAATTATAATTACAAATATAATTTTAAAAAACTTATAATTATAATCAAAATTATAAAAATATATAATTATAATTATAATTAAAACTATAATAATTATACCTATTACACTAAATATAACTATAGATATAATTATAATTGTAATTATATTTTTAATTATAATTATTTATCTAATTATAATTGAAATTGAAATTAAAATTACAATTACAATTACAATTGCAATTACAATTATAATTAAAATTATAATTATAATTACAATTATAAATGTAATTATAATTATAATTATAATTATAATTATAATTATAATTATAATTATAATTATAATTATAATTATAACTATAACTAAAATTATAATTATAAATATATTTATAATTATAAATGGAATCATAATTATAATTATAATTATATTTTCAATTATAAATAAAATTATAATTATGATTTAAGTTATTCCATACTCCGTATAATAATAATAATAATAATAATAATAATAATAATAATAATAATAATAATAATAATAATAATAATAATAATAATAATAATAATAATAATAATAATAATAATAATAATAATAATAATAATAATAATAGTAGTAGTAGTAGTAGTAATAATAATAATAAATAGTACAAAATAATAATAATAATATAATAATATTAATTATAATTATTATTATTATAATATAATAATTATTATTACTATTGTTATTATAAGAATATAATTATAATAATTAGTATTATATTATACTCCGTAATAATAGTAACATAATAATAATAATTATTTTTAATATAATAATAATTATTCTTAGTTTTTTAATATTATAATAATATAATAATAATTATTATTACTATAATAAAATAATAGTTGTTATTATAATATAATAATAATAATAATAATAATAATAATAATAATAATAATAATAATAATAATAATAATAATAATAATAATAATAATAATAATAATAATAATAATAATAATAATAATAATAATAATAATAATAATAATAATAATAATAATAATAATAATAATAATAATAATAATAATAATAATAATAATAATAATAATAATAATAATAATAATAATAATAATAATAATAATAATAATAATAATAATAATAATAATAATAATAATAATAAATAGTAATAATAGTAATAATAGTAATAGTACTAATGCTAATAATAATAATAATAATAATAATAATAACCTACGAATTATTAAATTTTATATATTTGCATAACACTCAATTATTTTATTTTATGTATAAAAGCCTCTTTAATTAGCATACATAAAGTTAATAGCCACCATTTATATTTTATAAAAGAAAAAGCACTTTTCTACATAGTGAACTGGTAAATAAAAGATACGGATGAGTGATGTTCAAATAGAATCTAAATTTTAATGTGATAGTAGATGTTTAATATTGAAACTAAGTCACGGAAGGGCTATTCGTTTTATTTTTAATAATACCTGATATTAATTTAAAGGTAGATATTTAAACATGTATATATACCCAATTTTCTCAAGTTATAAACAAGTGTAGTGTATTTATTTATTATTGAGAAGAGAATTGAACAGTAACAGTTCAATTGTCTGAGCCTATGAGGCCGTGTAATTTTAGCCATTTCCTGGATCGGGAAATTTTTGTTACAACTTGTTTGCTATTTGGAAGCTTACGTTTCAGGAGGAAAGACATTAAAAGTTAACTTTTTAAAATGGTTTTTTGGTTAACCGATTAATTGTTAACCTATATTATGATGGAATGTTACCCGATTTATTGATGTTATTGTACGATTAATGTTGTTATAAATATAATAACTGAAATTACGGTTAACAAAAATTTGGTTAACCGAAATGCGGTTAACTAACCATGCCCACCCCTAGTATGTACTACGTAGTAATTAAAATTAGTAAAGTAGAGGTTATTTTTTTGCTGAATTGGAAAGGCTAGGATCGATTGTTTAGCTATTTTTTTCGTATATTAATAAAATATAGAGAAATTGTCCTAAATAGGAGTTATAACGTTTTGAAATTCCAAAATAGGATTATCATGTTTTTTATTCTTTGAATAGAAGTAATCTGCCATGTTTGAAAAAAATGCCATATTTAAACCATAGTAATGCCAAATTTGGCAGAAATTTACTCTTATTCAGGGAATAAAAAACATGATAGTCCTATTTCGGAATTTCAAAACGTTTTTACTCTTATTTAGGGAATTCTCTCTAAAATATACTCTAAATTTTTTTTTTATAATTCAGCCGATTTAGCCACTTGAATCGGAATTTAATCAATTTCAGCAGAATTAACTAATTCAACCAATTTCGATGTTACAAAAGTGGCTCTTAGTTCTACAAATGACATTAATGTGAAAGTATTAATTTATTGTTCATCCCTCTCCTCTTTATGGTTATCACAATTTTCTCCTTTTCACCTGTCTCATCCCATATTTGATATTATTTTTGTGATTCTAATTTATTTGTACTTCATTCACATTTTACCTATTCAAATCAATCACATAACTCCACTTCTCTAAAAAAAAATGGCACCCCATCCTCTTGTGCCATTCTTAGGAGGATGAAGGCAGTATTAGAGACTAGATTTTGTTCCTCTAATTGAAACCAGAGTTGAACCACAAGATTTAAGTCACTTCCGAGATAGAGATTCTGCATCGTAAATGGTTTTATTTAGTATAGGATTTTTTTTTTTACGTTTGAACAATGTACTCTTAATTCATCTTGATTATGATCAATATTATTATACAAGATCTCATAGTCGTCACATAAGTTAAAGTGATGAAGATAGCATTACATTGAGCTTAAAAGAACAACATGAAAGCCACATAACTTGGAATTTGTTCACCTTTAAACAGCCTTGTACTCTATAGTGTTCACCACTTTACTTGGCTACCTTAAAAAGTATCTTGAATAGCATATGTTAAACTCATTCATTCCTGTGTGAGTAAAAGCCTGAATTATTGCAAAGACACAACCAATATTATGTGGGGCAAATATTTTGGGCACAAAATTAGGTAAACAAAGCAGGAATCAGAGATTACTCTGTAAATAAAACCAAACAGGTACTAAATGAGGTACTGAAACAATCCTCCATAAGTGGACTGTAGTCTGTAGGTCATGGTTGTAACTTCTAAGCATTGTAGGGTGGACAATGTGTTTGGTCTTCTGGCATCAGAAAAGTTCAAAATTTATGTGCCCTTTTTGTCCCTCCCTTTTCCATCATTGCTGTTCCCCTTTTCTCTCCTTTCTTCTCCAAGACTTGTATATATGTCACTCCACTGTATGTCTTTCTCACTTAGCTTTGGGAATTCAAAAAAACTATATACAGAGATCATAGGATACTTAATATGTTGAGAGGAAGAGAAGAGAGAATAGAGGCAGTGTCCGAAAAACAGATAATGTACACCAGAACTGGCAGCTTAAAGACGCCGGCTAAGAGAGCATCACCAGAATTGGCTCATCCTTTTCGATATTATCTCAAGCGTTTCAGCGGAAGCATGGCGGACGCTTTGCGGATTATTTCCCCGGTGAAAAGCCGCACACTCGACTTGTCAACATCATCATCATCGTCGTCTTCTTCATTTTCATCGAAGTACAGCAGCCGATCATCAAGGCAGCAGCTAATGATGGCTGGAAGTAATTGTCCATGTACATTTGCAGCTACACGACGGCATTCAATCGGAACGGACCATCACAGAGCTGAAGCCATAGATGATTGTATCAAATTCATCAAATCCACCTTGTCCAGATCAAAGTCACTCTCTCCTTAAGTTTAATGATTGAATATGCTGACGGTTAGTTAGGGTTTATTATGATATATAGCTAGTAATTAACTTAGAACAGTTTGTTCGTATGTAACATTTTTTGTGATCAGATCAACTGATCAAGTGGTGTGGAAAGTAATATTGTTTTCAGTCATAAGGTTGATATCATTTTTTTAATCTATCGAAAGATCACATGACTTGATCTGAATTATGATAACTTGATGAATGAAAATTTTATTTGTATCTTATGAGTAAATGATTACAGCAGAGAAATATGTATCGAAAGATAGTGACTTGATCCGAATTATGATAACTTGATGAATGAAAATTTTATTTGTATCTTATGAGTAAATGATTACAGCAGAGAAATATGTATGCGTTATACTTCTCTACCTTAGGAATAAGACAATGCAGAAGTGAAAAAACAAGAGTTAAAAATCTCGTAGGAGTAAATGAAATGAGTTGTAAACAAATTTTGACTCAAGTTTTCTCAAAATATAAAGGGTTTTCCACATAAATTGTTGGTAAAAAAAGTCTCTCCATTATAACTGAAGGACTAAAAAAAATTCCTACTAATAGCATAAGACCTTTTGGAGTGGTGTAGGATTAGGAATCCAAAATGTTAAAAGTGGAATTTTTGGACTCCTAATTCCTTGTAGTGGTTGGCTATATGGGGGAGTAAAAATGGAGAAGGGGATGGAGGAGGCTATATATGAAGGGTGTGTTGACTCCCTAAAATTAAAGGAAAATGAAAAGTAAAGGGAAAGTGGGAGCGGCGCATGTGTTGTGCGCAGGGAGAAAGAGGCCAAGTGACCTTGGGCGCAGGAATTATTTGCACAAGATGACATCATGATAGTGTCACACAGCACCCACAAGCCTTTTTATTTAAAAAAATATTGGTCGATCCAACGGCTGTGATGATTTGGACACTGTTTGAAACGGGAAAACAATTGATCCAACAGCTGAAATTGAAATCCGACGGTTAAAATAATTTATTTTATTTTTCCATTATTTTTAATTAATATTTTGTCCGAAAATCCTATATAAACAACCTGATGAATTTCACGTATGTTTCAATTTCAAATTCCATGTTTTGTTATTTTAATTTATTCCATGTGTTTGAACTCACTTCAATGCTCCAATGTGTTTAAACTCACTTCATCCAAAAACGTAAAAAAAATATTAATGAAATTTATTTATTTTTACATCGAAATGTGTCTTTTTTATTTTATAATTAATCAGAGAAAAAATTAAAATGAAAACATTACTTATAATAATTTACTTAATGTTATACTAAATTGATATGTAAAAAAACGTGCAGAGTGCATTTTATTGACGGTGCTGGAATACAGAGAAATAAGAGTCAAAATACTGTTTTCATATGGACGGAGTCCATTTTTAACATTTGGACTCCCACACCACTCCAAATGGTCTAACTCTACTGTATTGGGAGTATTTGAAATACTTCCAAATACGAAACAAAAACTTTACCACCCAAAGAACATTCACTAAAATGCATTCAACTAAAAACTATCATCTTCCTATTTATTATCGAGTTCTCTAAAAGAATTTTTGCCACTTTAAGTCCCGCGAATATTGTGTCGGTGAGACTTTTGGTACTTGAATTTCAATTTTTCTATTTTTAATCCTCCGATTATTGTGTGAAAAACACTTTCAGTGTTTAACTTTAAAGTTCTCCAAATTTAGTCACTTAGGGGTGGATTCGGTTCAAACAGTTCAATTTTCACCTAAAACCAAATGCCGAACCAAAGTAAAAAGTTCGGTTGGATTCGGTTATATGTTCAAAAATTTGGAACCACGGTTTGTTCGGTTCGGTTTCGATTTTTTCGGTTTTTACCAAAGTATTTTTGTTGATTAGAAAAATAAGAATTGGAAAACAAAAACAAAAACAAACTACACCAAACTATTTTTAATAGTAATACAATACAAAAACATACATAATTAAAAAAGAGAGAGAAGAAACAAAGGAACTTCCAAACAATGAATTAGAGTATGTGTATACCAATTTAAACATTTTCTAAATAAACTAAACACATGAGTTTATTTGTGAGTTATATACAGAGTATTCACAAGTTAAAATTTTATCAATAAATAACTTAATCTACGGAGTACCTTTTTTAGCCAAATATATTTATGCTCTAAAGTTTCACATTTTCTGCTATGTTGTTTAAAGTATAGTTTATATTAATACACTTTGTTCAATATAAAAATTATGTGATAACAAACATACTTAACATATACAGAGTAAGAGAGCTCTTCTCATCAGGCCGGCCTGACGGGCTGCCCCGTCCGGCCGAGCCTGTTTGGGCACCTTCCCGGTGGAATTTTTTGATGAAATTGTTTGAGCATGTTCCTCATCAAGTCTAGTTTGTCCATACCAAATTGCAGCTCAAAATTCGATCGGGAAGGTCGTCAAATGATTTTTGCAAGTTAACTGGTCCGGAAAATACATATTCCGGACCAGTTAACTTGCAAAAATCATTTGACGACCTTCCCGATCGAATTTTGAGCTGAAATTTGGTATGGACAAACTAGACTTGATGAGGAACATGCTCAAAAAATTGCATCAAAAAATTCCACCGGGAAGGTGCCCAAACGGGCTCGGCCGGACGGGGCATCCCGTCAGACCGGCCTGATGAGATGATTTCTCTACAGAGTAATATATCAACAAAGTATCATTGTCATGCAACAACAAGCAAAATGTAAATTACAACTTAAAATATTAACATATTAGTATTATAGACGATCAAAAAAACATATTAGTATTATAGTAATAGACATAAGTTTATGTACAAGTGTTTCACTTTTTTTTTGAAAGGTACAAGTGTTTCACTTAATTAAGCAATAAATATTAAATGTCAATATCTTGCAAATCATAATAAATCTAGTATCAAACATTAATTTTCTAACAAAATATTATACTTGATGATTAATAAATAAAATAACAACTTTTAAAAAGTTCGGTTTATTCGGTTCGGTTCGATTTTGAGATGTGAAAACCAAAATCGAAACCAAACAACTACGGTTCGATTCTGTTTTTTGAGTTCGGTTTCGATTCTCTTACAGTTCAGTTGGTTTGGTTGCGGTTCGGGTTTTTTCGATTCGGTTTTTGGTTTTCGATTTCTCCAACCCACCCCTATAGTCACTGAGTATTATCGAATTGACATTGTGAGTCCTTTCACTATGATTTTGCCATAAAAATGGAGGATTAAATATGTCACTATGGCCTTTTTATTCATATATTACTATTAATTAATGGATTTCTAATAAAGTGAGTTAAGTTTCAAAAATCCAAATATATGACTACAACTATTATACACTAAACCATTCGCACACCCAGGTAGAAGGGCATTAATCGGTTGCACACCAATCCGTTTAGCACCAGATGTCCAGATATATCTTTTAATGATAATGAATTTTAATACTAAAAAATTGGAAAGAGTTTCTCCGGCCATAAACAGCAACCGCCACTGTTACCACCGGCGTCACCAGCAGTCTTGCCGCACCACCGCGTAGTGATTTGCTCTGGTCATAGTGACCGCCGTTCAGTGACTTGCTCCCGTCCAGTGACTGCCGGCATCCCGTCTAGTGACTGTCGCCATCCTGTCCAGTGACTACTGCCGCCCTGATAAGTGACCGCTGTGTCACGCCCCAGACCGCAATCCAAGCGCGTGTACAACCGCCGTATAATCAAGTGACGTCACCCGCGAGTCAACCTCACTTGATTACACAAGGCGTTCGAGAAAATAATCCATCCATACTCAGTAGTAAACATACATAACAACATCCCATATAAACCAATGAATAGCGGAAATATTCAACGGTAAGTCATAAGCCACAACCGGCCAATAACATGGGCATGCAAGCCCCAAAAGAATAGTTTATGACAAATAAAAACATCCATGAGCAATGTTTGGTAATTTGAAATAAAATGAGGAAGCACGAACCACGTCTTCCTTGATTTGATGTCACCCGTAGAAAGGTGCAGGTAGCAAGCCCTAGCTTCAACCTGAAAATGGTGGGGCCCCCCGAAGGGGTCAGTACAAGTACCGAGCGAGTAGCAGGCTAAATATAGAATAACTATCGTTTCAAGTATAAGACCCAAACATAGGGTGATACATATACGTATAGTCCTTTTCCCAAGTTTGAAATACATATTAGTATACATACACTTGGAAATACCCGACCCGTAGGTCATTGTTTATTTGGGAAAATAATAGTAGTCAATATCCTTGACTTAAATCCCAACCCACCCATATACCTATGAGTGTATAGAACTCCTCCTTGTTCAAATAAATTATCATAAGGACACCGCCCGGTCCTAGATCATTAAATGTAATCTATGAGTTTTGAGGATACACGCCCGATCCTTGGGTACTCCACCCTATAACCGAGTTTTGAGGATAACCGCCCGATCCTTGGGTACTCCACCCTATATAACCGAGTTTTGAGGATAACCGCCCGATCCTTGGGTACTCCACCCTATATAACCGAGTTTTGAGGATAACCGCCCGATCCTTGGGTACTCCACCCTATATAACCGAGTTTTGAGGATAACCGCCCGATCCTTGGGTACTCCACCCGACCTATGACTTACCACATATCACGCTAGATAGGGTCTATATCATATTTTGTCATTCATAACTAATTCACTACATAAAGCTTATGTATCACAATTCATGCAAATCCATGCAATTATATAAATATACAATTAACTAATATCAACCGACATTAATTAATCCATTATCCATCGGTCAACGTTGTCGTTGACCGCCATTCAAGCCTTGTACATATCAACTTAATCATCATATAATTAAGTTAATAATAATCATTTTTGCTTCTTTGACATTCCCAACAAATATGCATTTCATATTATTTCTCATATCATGTTTCATGTATAAACAATTAATTCTTTTCATACAAACTTATCTATGTTGGCTAATCACATGTTTAAATATCTTTTAAACATCATTATGAACACTTATAACATTTATTTAGGTAATCTTATAATTAACCCAAAAGTTATGAGATATTAAGCCGTCCACTCACCTTGAACTAGCGTTATGAAGTTCTACCCCTCTTGGTGGAACTCCGGTGAAACTCCGGCGACTTTCGGTCAACTCCGGCGACAACTCCGGCGACTTTACCAACTTGTGAAATCACTTGAAATACCTTTCACAAGTTCCTAACAAGGTTTTATAATCATAAAACCCATATTAATACAAATAACTTCAAAACGGTTATTTTCCGGTGAACCGGTCGTTTTGGCTTCTAAGTCCGTTCTTGGACATAGAATCATTTTCCAACCCATTAATCCATACTTATAACATGTAGAACCCCCTTAAGGATTCTTCACATGATATATATCTCATATGGTAGAAGGAAAATAAAGAAAAAGTTATAATAAGGTCATTACCTTAATCTTTTCACACTTTTAGCACTTTAGCTCCTTTTCTTGGGATTCCTTCTTGTTGAGCTCCCTTCAACAATGGAGAAAGGAGATGGAGAATTTTCTTGGCTTCTTTTCTTGAGGTTCTGGCCGCAGGGGTGAGGGGTGAGGGAAGGTGAGAATAGTTCTTTTGACTTAATGATCAAATGAGTGTGGATGGGATCCACCTCAATTTGTTTGATTCCTATTCTTTCACTTCATAACCTCTCCCATGCCTCCCATCTTACACCAGCCGACCAATGCCTTGAGAAATGAGGCTAATTTCGTGGGTTGGCCCCCACCCATGTGGGAGGTCAACCCTTTTTGTCCAGAAGTGTACAATCGGTCCCGAAAGTTGTATTTTTCGGACTGTTTTAATCATAATTTATTTTATCGGGTAAAATAAAATATATTATGTGTTCCCAATCATAACGCCCCTTGAAATAATATATATTCCAAAACTTTAATTTGGAAGTCTCCGAAATTCATTTTCGGGCTGTTATCTGTTTAATTGTCGGTACCGGTAATTGGGCTTCTTTTGACCAATCGGTCAACTCTGGGCCTTTCCATGGCCCAAATGAAATATCCACCACTATATATTTATTATCTAGACCAAGATGAATAAAATATATGGTCTCGGGAATGTCGGGCGGCCCCCCGCTCCCGGTGTGGGTCCCACGTGCAATTTACTATTCACGCGAAAGAATTAATAAAAATTTACAACTTCGTAAATTCGTAAATCCTTTAATAAGGTTCATTACATTATTTACATAAAAGTAAATATATTTGGGGACGGTGTTACAAGTTCACCCCCCCTTATTTGGGATTTCGTCCCCGAAATCCAAGTATCTAATCGAAAAGAGATGGGTATTGCCCCCTCATTGAGACCTCGGTCTCCCAAGTTTCTTCTTCGACTCGATCACTCCTCCAAAGAACCTTTACCATAGGAATCTCCTTATTCCTAAGCTTCTTCACTTGTTGACCAACAATCTTCACTGGTTCCACCGCATATTGCAAGTCCTCACGGATCTCTACCGGTGGTTTCTCAAGAATATGAGATGGGTCACGTATGTACTTCTTGAGCATCGATACATGAAATACGTCATGTATCCTCTCAAGTTCTGGTGTTAACTTGAGACGATAAGCCACGGCCCCAATCCTTTCAAGGATTTCAAAAGGACCGATGTATCGTGGGTTAAGCTTTCCCCTTGATACAAATCGAATGATGCCCTTCCAAGGAGAAATCCTTAGGAAGACCTCATCACCGACTTCGAACTCCAACGGTCTCCGCCGTTTATCAGCATAACTCTTCTGTCGGTCCTGAGCAGCCTTCAATCTATCCCGAATGATCCTTACCTTGGCCTTGGTGATCTCAACCAGCTCTATCCCTTCGAGTTTGGCCTCGCCAACCTCGTCCCAACACAACGGTGTTCTGCACTTCCTCCCATACAATGCCTCGTATGGAGGCATGCCAATACTTGCTTGATAACTGTTGTTATAAGCAAACTCCACTAGAGCCAAATGTTTGTCCCAACTTCCTTGGAACTCCAAGGCACATGCTCTAAGCATGTCTTCCAAAATCTGTATCACCCGCTCGGACTGTCCATCCGTCTGTGGGTGAAAAGCTGTGCTAAACTTCAGTTTAGTACCCAACGATGCTTGAAACTTTGGCCAAAATCGGGATGTGAATCGTGGATCCCTATCCGAGACAATGGATATTGGGACTCCATGTAATCTCACGATCTCCTCCGTGTATAGCTTGGCCAACCTTTCAAGGGGATAAGTAATGTTGATAGGCAGAAAGTGTGCACTCTTGGTGAGCCTATCAACTACCACCCATACTGCATCGTAGTTGTTCACTGTTCGTGGCAGCCCCACCACGAAGTCCATGGTCACATGTTCCCACTTCCACTCTGGGATGGTGAGTGGTTGTAAGAGCCCTGCTGGGTGCTGATGCTCTGCCTTAACTTGTTGGCAAGTAAGGCATCGACTCACAAACTCCGCAATATCCTTCTTCATGCCTGACCACCAGTAACTTTCCTTCAGATCTCGGTACATCTTAGTACCCCCTGGATGCATGGCATATGCTGAAGAATGAGCCTCCTCAAGTATAGCCCTCTGGAGCTCCTCATTCTTTGGTATGCACACACGATCCTTAAATAATAAAAGACCGTCATCACGTACCCGAAAATTCTCGACGGGCCCCTCAAGGATCCGTTCGCGGATCTTCTGACATTCCTCATCAATGGCCTGACATCTACTGATCTCACTCAGCAATGTAGGCCTCACCTCGAATCTAGCAATGAGCGCCCCGCTCGTGGATACCTCCACGCGTGCCCTTAACACTCGTAGACAAGTAAGTAACGTCCCTGACGTACTCTTCCTGCTCAGTGCGTCGGCCACTACATTGGCCTTTCCGGGATGGTAGTCGATGATCAAGTCATAGTCCTTGATCAACTCCATCCATCTCCTCTGCCTCATATTCAACTCTTTCTGAGTGAATACATACTTCAAGCTCTTATGATCGGTATAAATGTGACACGTCTCCCCGTAGAGATAATGCCTCCAAATCTTTAATGCAAACACTACCGCCCCCAACTCTAGATCGTGGGTAGGGTAGTTAGCCTCGTGTTTCCTCAATTGCCTAGAAGCATAGGCAATCACCTTACCGTTTTGCATTAGTACACATCCAAGCCCTTGGATGCTAGCGTCGCTGTAAATGTCATACCCTATCCCCTGTATGGGTAGGGCAAGGACTGGTGCTTCGGTAAGTCGTTTCTTGAGTTCAAGGAACCCTTTCTCACACTTGTCATCCCATATGAACTTGGCCCCTTTCTTTGTGAGCTTCGTTAATGGAGACGCCAATACAGAGAATTTTTCAACAAATTTACGATAGTATCCCGCTAAGCCAAGGAAACTACGTATCTCTTTCACATTCTTGGGTCTCTCCCAATCCATGATAGCTTTTATCTTGGCATTATCCACAGCTACGCCCGAACCGGATATGACGTGACCGAGAAAACCAATCTCCTTGAGCCAAAATTCGCATTTAGAGAACTTGGCAAAGAGTTGCTTTTCCCTTAGCCGATCAAGTATAAGCCTCAAATGATGTTCGTGCTCCTCCTCACTCTTGGAGTATATCAAGATATCATCAATGAATACTATCACAAATTGATCTAAGTATTCACTAAACACCCGGTTCATCAAGTCCATGAATGCTGCCGGTGCATTGGTTAAACCAAATGACATCACAAGAAACTCGTAGTGACCATATCTAGTGCGAAATGCACTCTTAGGTATGTCACTCTCCTTGATCTTCAACTGGTGATACCCCGATCTCAAGTCAATCTTCGAGAATACTATGGCCCCTCGAAGTTGATCAAACAAGTCATCGATCCTAGGTAAAGGATACCTGTTCTTGATTGTGACCTTGTTCAACTGTCGGTAGTCGATACACATTCTTAGCGTACCATCTTTCTTCTTTACAAAGAGTACGGGTGCTCCCCACGGTGAATGACTGGGTCTGATGAACCCGTTGTCCAGTAGCTCTTGTAGTTGGACCTTCAACTCTTGAAGTTCGGCCGGTGCCATTCGATAAGGAGGAATCGAAATGGGTTTGGTTCCCGGCTCCACCTCGATTACAAATTCAATCTCTCTATCGGGTGGAAGCCCCGGTAGGTCCTTGGGAAAGACGTCCGGGTACTTGCACACGACTCGAACATCCTTGATGTCGACTTCTTTCTTCGTATCATCTATCACGTAAGCAAGGTATGCGTGGCATCCCTTCCTCATCATCTTTCGTGCTCTCATCACGGATATGATACAAGCATTAGATTTTCCCCGATCTCCTTCAAAACGTAGCATATTCCCTTGATCATCCTCAAGCTCCAACACCTTGGTGTAGCAATCCACTCGGGCATGGTGTTTCTCGAGCCAATCCATTCCTAGGATTGCATCGAACTCCAACATGCTCAGAGGTACGAAATCACAAGTCAAAGGTTGACCCGTCACTTCTACCTCACACGAGGGATAGTAATGATCCCTCTCCACGTCGTCTCCTAATGGTGTGGAGACTAGCAATGTTTGTGTCATAGGCGTCAATGGCACGTCGAGCCCCTCAGCAAACGCCTCACTCACAAATGAGCGTTGTGCCCCGGTATCGATGAGGATCCTCGCACACCTACCATTGATCTTTAATGTTCCTACATTTATACACCATGTAAGATACATTTTCTAATGTTTTCACACACCTTTAGGAGGTTATTAGGTTCATACTAATGTTTGGAATCAAACGGGGGTCCAAACGTAGAAGAACGGGGCGAAAAAATCGACTTTCGGGTGTTGGGGGTCCACGCACGACGTGCCTGGGTGGCACGCACGGCCGTGCGTGCAACAAACTCACCCTGCTGGCCACTGCCGGCCAGGCACGATGCCAGGCACGGCGTGCCTGCGGCCGTGCCTGGCCAAAATTTCCTTCGGACGCCACTGCCTCCCAGGCACGACGCCAGGCACGGCGTGCCTGCGGCCGTGCCTGGCCCAAATTTTTTTTTTTTTTCTTTCTCTTCGGGTGCCACTGCCCTCCAGGCACGACGCCAGGCACGGCGTGCCTGCGGGCGTGCCTGGCCAGCAGTGGCTGTTCCCCGTCCGATTCGGCCTAACTCACCCGGTTCGACCCCGGGGTGGCCCGCACTCAATCCCAACGACGTATATGATCAAAGTAAGCCTAGAAATACATGGGAATACGTGTATTACCTGCAACGGAGTCCGGGTTTGCTCTCGCATCCGCCTCGGTCATCGCGTACACTCGGGCTTGGGTCCCACCTTGGTTGACGGATGCGGCATGGCTTGTGGATGCGCCGCCTCTTCCCGTGCCGCCGTTTGACGGTCCCGCACGGTTCCTTCCCGTCATGGTCCCTCCCCCGGCTCCCGAGGCACTCTCTTGCATCAATTGAGGGCAATTGGCCTTCATATGGCCCGCATTCCCGCACTTAAAACACCTCGGTGGTTCATTGCACTTCCCAAAGTGTTGTTTTGAGCAATTGGGGCATCTAGGTGGCCCCGAGTTCTGTGGCCTAGGTCCGTGCCACCTCGCATCCCTATTCTTCTTTGCCGGTGGAGCCGGCGTCTTGAATGAACCACCGCCACCACCACCCCCGTGGTTGTTCCTTCGAGAATGATCGGGTGGCCCCGAATTATTCCACTTCCTCTTCTTCGCCTCTTCGGCGTCCCTTGCTTTCCTCTCGTTCCATTGGGCCTCTCCAAGCATGCCCTGCTCTACCACCTCACTAAAGGTCATGAGGCGGGAATACGTGGCACGATCTCGGATGTCCAAGAGTAGGGCATCCCAGAAGTGCTCAGTCATGCGGTCCTCATCGATCGCATACTCCGGTAAGAACCTAGCCAAGGTCCTAAACTCCTGCTCCAGTTGCTTAACCGTGCAACCCTCTTTCTGCTTGAGGTTGGTATACTCCCTCCTTTTCACATTAACCTCGAAATCGGAGTAGTATTGAGCATAAAATTCTTGCTCAAAATTTTCCCATGAGATGTCCCCACGGTATTTCCCTTCTACACCTTCCCACCATGTAGAAGCCATCCCTTCAAGTAGCCGTGAAGCGACAGTCAACTTCACATCCGGTGTGATTTGCATGTCTCTTGATGCATCCTTCACCTTCTTAATCCAATCGGCGGCAACGGTAATGTCACCGGTGCCGTCAAAGGACCTACACCCCAAGGCCCTAGCCTCCTTGAGGTACTTGGAGATTCTCACAACAAAACCTCCTTCACGCCCACCTTGTGACGCCGCTGGGGTGGCCACGGAAGCTCCCCGGCTCCCTTGACCCGAACCACCACGAGAGCCACGCCTCGCTTGGCGCCTAAGGTCTCTCCTCAGTTTCTCCTTTTGATACCACTCAAGTAATTCACCCATTTGGGCGAAACGGGCATCACTTTCATCATTGTCCTCATCGGTGTATGTGTCACCCCCATCATATGGGGTCTCCTCATGCTCTGTCTCAGGAACATACGTAGAGTCATAGTCCTCGGTGTTGGTTTCATACACCGAGCTTACATGGCCATCACTCACAGTTTGAGCTTGATAACCTCCACGGCTTCCACGGCCTCCACGGCCTCCTCTTGAACCCCGAGATGCAGCCCGGCTTCCCCTTTGGGATGTTACCGGCGCCTGCCCCCTCGGATTGTTCCTGGTCCGCATTCGCCTGCCCTCCATTTCTGAAAGAAATATGGATGAGTCATTAGACTCCTATAAATGTCAATTGACGGAAGAACGTTACAGACACGTATTGGCCCAAGTCACCACCATACCAATTGTTAAGGGTACCGTCTTAACAATTAGAGGCCTTGCAACTTAAGCTCCAATAGTCCCATAAACGTCAAAATCCAATGCTCATGGTTTTCGGTAAAAACTCTTTCGTAAAATCTCATGTGAGAGGTTGATTATATAGTTTAGAACTGAGATGGCTCTGATACCACTTAATTGTCACGCCCCAGACCGCAATCCAAGCGCGTGTACAACCGCCGTATAATCAAGTGACGTCACCCGCGAGTCAACCTCACTTGATTACACAAGGCGTTCGAGAAAATAATCCATCCATACTCAGTAGTAAACATACATAACAACATCCCATATAAACCAATGAATAGCGGAAATATTCAACGGTAAGTCATAAGCCACAACCGGCCAATAACATGGGCATGCAAGCCCCAAAAGAATAGTTTATGACAAATAAAAACATCCATGAGCAATGTTTGGTAATTTGAAATAAAATGAGGAAGCACGAACCACGTCTTCCTTGATTTGATGTCACCCGTAGAAAGGTGCAGGTAGCAAGCCCTAGCTTCAACCTGAAAATGGTGGGGCCCCCCGAAGGGGTCAGTACAAGTACCGAGCGAGTAGCAGGCTAAATATAGAATAACTATCGTTTCAAGTATAAGACCCAAACATAGGGTGATACATATACGTATAGTCCTTTTCCCAAGTTTGAAATACATATTAGTATACATACACTTGGAAATACCCGACCCGTAGGTCATTGTTTATTTGGGAAAATAATAGTAGTCAATATCCTTGACTTAAATCCCAACCCACCCATATACCTATGAGTGTATAGAACTCCTCCTTGTTCAAATAAATTATCATAAGGACACCGCCCGGTCCTAGATCATTAAATGTAATCTATGAGTTTTGAGGATACACGCCCGATCCTTGGGTACTCCACCCTATAACCGAGTTTTGAGGATAACCGCCCGATCCTTGGGTACTCCACCCTATATAACCGAGTTTTGAGGATAACCGCCCGATCCTTGGGTACTCCACCCTATATAACCGAGTTTTGAGGATAACCGCCCGATCCTTGGGTACTCCACCCTATATAACCGAGTTTTGAGGATAACCGCCCGATCCTTGGGTACTCCACCCGACCTATGACTTACCACATATCACGCTAGATAGGGTCTATATCATATTTTGTCATTCATAACTAATTCACTACATAAAGCTTATGTATCACAATTCATGCAAATCCATGCAATTATATAAATATACAATTAACTAATATCAACCGACATTAATTAATCCATTATCCATCGGTCAACGTTGTCGTTGACCGCCATTCAAGCCTTGTACATATCAACTTAATCATCATATAATTAAGTTAATAATAATCATTTTTGCTTCTTTGACATTCCCAACAAATATGCATTTCATATTATTTCTCATATCATGTTTCATGTATAAACAATTAATTCTTTTCATACAAACTTATCTATGTTGGCTAATCACATGTTTAAATATCTTTTAAACATCATTATGAACACTTATAACATTTATTTAGGTAATCTTATAATTAACCCAAAAGTTATGAGATATTAAGCCGTCCACTCACCTTGAACTAGCGTTATGAAGTTCTACCCCTCTTGGTGGAACTCCGGTGAAACTCCGGCGACTTTCGGTCAACTCCGGCGACAACTCCGGCGACTTTACCAACTTGTGAAATCACTTGAAATACCTTTCACAAGTTCCTAACAAGGTTTTATAATCATAAAACCCATATTAATACAAATAACTTCAAAACGGTTATTTTCCGGTGAACCGGTCGTTTTGGCTTCTAAGTCCGTTCTTGGACATAGAATCATTTTCCAACCCATTAATCCATACTTATAACATGTAGAACCCCCTTAAGGATTCTTCACATGATATATATCTCATATGGTAGAAGGAAAATAAAGAAAAAGTTATAATAAGGTCATTACCTTAATCTTTTCACACTTTTAGCACTTTAGCTCCTTTTCTTGGGATTCCTTCTTGTTGAGCTCCCTTCAACAATGGAGAAAGGAGATGGAGAATTTTCTTGGCTTCTTTTCTTGAGGTTCTGGCCGCAGGGGTGAGGGGTGAGGGAAGGTGAGAATAGTTCTTTTGACTTAATGATCAAATGAGTGTGGATGGGATCCACCTCAATTTGTTTGATTCCTATTCTTTCACTTCATAACCTCTCCCATGCCTCCCATCTTACACCAGCCGACCAATGCCTTGAGAAATGAGGCTAATTTCGTGGGTTGGCCCCCACCCATGTGGGAGGTCAACCCTTTTTGTCCAGAAGTGTACAATCGGTCCCGAAAGTTGTATTTTTCGGACTGTTTTAATCATAATTTATTTTATCGGGTAAAATAAAATATATTATGTGTTCCCAATCATAACGCCCCTTGAAATAATATATATTCCAAAACTTTAATTTGGAAGTCTCCGAAATTCATTTTCGGGCTGTTATCTGTTTAATTGTCGGTACCGGTAATTGGGCTTCTTTTGACCAATCGGTCAACTCTGGGCCTTTCCATGGCCCAAATGAAATATCCACCACTATATATTTATTATCTAGACCAAGATGAATAAAATATATGGTCTCGGGAATGTCGGGCGGCCCCCGCTCCCGGTGTGGGTCCCACGTGCAATTTACTATTCACGCGAAAGAATTAATAAAAATTTACAACTTCGTAAATTCGTAAATCCTTTAATAAGGTTCATTACATTATTTACATAAAAGTAAATATATTTGGGGACGGTGTTACACGCTGCCTCCCCTCGTCAGTGACCGCCGCCGCCCTGACCTCCGCCTCCCCTCGTCAGTGACCGTCGTCTCCCCTTGTCAGTGACCGCCGCCAGCCACAATGACTGACACCGGCCACAGACAGTGACCGACTCCAACCATAGTGACTGACCGCCCACCGGCTAGTGATTGCCGCCACCACCGCTCAGTGACTCCGATCATATTGACTGCCCACCAGTCATAGCGGTCGCCGGAAAGTTTTTTGCCGCCCTACCACCACCAACAACACTCTGCCCATCCTGCTACCTAGCCAAAGCTGCCAGCGCCGCCCTTGCCCGTCACCATCCACCGCCGTTCCACCGGCCATTGCCGCCGCCCATTCTCCGTCGTGCACAACAGCCACCGCGCCCCCCGGACCACAACCCCCCTCCCTTGCCCTAGCTCTACACACCAAATCCCAACCCAGCCCCTAGCTCTAAATGTTTATCATATTGTTGGCATAAAAATATTGGACTACTCTAACTTACTCCCTGGATGATTCAATCTATTGGATTCACCATGATCTATGTACCACCTCATGCTTGCACCAATTGTTTTTTTCTTATGTGCAAAAAGTGAAATAGTAAAATTAGTGTTATCATGCCATCATCATTTAACTTGGGGATATGATGTGTTTTTGTGCTTACATCCTCCGAAAAGTAATAGCTTGAAAATGTTCCCACTTCACTTTGTAAATAACCTCCCCTAACAGATGCTTCAACCCTAGCTTCATTTCCAACTTTTGTCTTCAATATTGTTCCCAAGAAACTACAAAAGTTGTACAAAATAAGATATCAAGTAAAAAGTCACATGAATATATATAAAGTATTAATCACACACCTTTCAAAATGATGCATCCATTGATACTGTGCAGTCTGGCAAACAAAGCTTCACCTAGTAAGTGCACAACAAGGTGTTTTCTAGCATCAAAGAACGAGGGATGAATTCTCCAACTTGCACATAATCACATTAATATCTTCCTTTAGCTTCTCAATGTCATGGACCGATATAGTATTTCTTGTTAATTAGCTCACGAGTAGGTGTTGCATGAAAACATGTCCATTTCAACACATGTCCATCTGCTCTAGTATGTGATCAAACTAACACTTCTAGATGGTCAAGAATGTGAACAAATTACCAATACAATGGGCTAAAATGTGGTCGAATACACTATCTTAATTAAGTAGAAACCTTAATTAATACTCCCTTCATCCCCCAATTAAGTTCCTGGTTTGACTTCAAACATATTAAGAAAATGAATTTGACTTTACTGTGGAGTCCACTGTTTTGCACTGTTTAAGCACTGTTTGGCACTGTTTGGCACTGTTTTCATGTAGATAATTTGTCAAATAAGGAAAGTATTGAAGTGTGAACTTAATTTAGGGACTGCCCAAAAACAAAAGTGAGAACTTTATTGGCGGACAGAAGGAGTATTGCAAAACTGCATATAAATGAAATGAACACAGAGTTTATGTTTGCCTCATGTGAAACTTTATACATGCCATATGTCATCTCTAGTATAATTCTACTAATCTTAGCAAGAACGTTGCTCGGAGGTACATGGGTAACCTGGTGGGATCACCTAAAGGTGAGCGTCATGGATCGATACCATGTTCTCAGTTTGATCATGATTTCTCTAACTAATACTACACAATGTTTGAAGTTAACTAGAAATGGAAGGACTATACCGAGTTGAGACAATGGACCATGATGGCTAAAGAGTTAGAGCAAACATTTAGGTGACTTGTGGAATCACTTTTGGAATGCCTTAAACCTTGGGATCCATGAAAGAGCAACATGCGATGATTGGGCTCTATTTAGTGAGGTAAGTGTAGAGGGGATATAAGTTATTCTGAGAAAGGCATCAATTTAATCTTCAAAGGTTAAGGAAGGGGAAGATTGGGCTACAATGCTCACCTAAGAAATTGATTAATTGAACACAAGCTAAGGAGAGGGGCATTTCAAACCTCCTAAGCGGGAGATAGACTCGCCTAGTTAAGGCAGAATCCACAAATAAAATGAAAAAACTACAAGAAGTATCACATAGGAAAGTGCAGTGAGCCACAAAAATCTTTCAAGTGTGGAGATCCCAGCCACTTCAAGTCTAAGTGCCCTTTGAATGAGAATGACGACTAGAGAGAACAGTCGGCACATGTACCAGGGCCAACCAGGCTCTGATTGGGATAGGTCAATGAGGAGACAATGAGCTACCAATGACACTCAACTAAGGGAGGACCGCTGCCAGGGTCTACACCATATTGAGGCAAATGCTTGAACCAACCTAGACTTAGTAATAAGTACTCCCTCCGTCCCACAAAATTTGGCCAAAGTTGACTCGCACGTAGATTAATAAAGTGAAAAATGTTTGGTTGAAATTTGTGCAGAGGAGAGAGAAATAACTTTAGTCACATATTCTTGACTTTAAATGGAAATGGCAAAGTTTTTTGGGACGACAAAAAAAAAGGAAATTTGGCCAAGTTTTATGGAACGGAGGGAGGGAGTATAATTTTATATTTTTTCAATGTTTATAAGGGTAAAGTTAGTGAGATTGAGATCTTGACAAAATTGAGCAAGTGTTGGACTAGGTTGTCGAGGAGTTTAATGCACCAAACCCCCCTGTGATTTGGAAATTCGGCGCATTAGCCCCCTGTGATTTAAAAAATGCGTCAAACCCCCCTGTGTATTAATTAATCATGCGCCAAATCCCTTATGTGAACAAATTCAATTGTCAAATAAAAGAAAAAAGATTAACATTTTTGTATGATTCAGAGATTTTGACATATTTATTTGCATATTCAATCAAAATATTAGGAAAAGTGATTTTCAAATCGTTAAATTTATTCATAAAAGGGGTTTTGTGCATGATTAATTAAAACACAAGGGGGTTTGACGCATTTTTTAAATCACAGAGGGCTAATGCGCCGAATTTCCAAATCACAGGGGGTTTGGTGCATTAAACCCGTTGTCGAGTACAAACTAGCCAGAGACAAATATTTACTTATGTTTAGGCACACTGAGCGTTAACGACAGTGATGCACCCATGATAATATACGTATATGGGAGCTCACCACTCATTTGTTAATAAGAGCTCCAAGACCCAGCTAAACTGACCACACAGCCAACGTTGATGGCACTGTACTGGGGCTACCTAGCTTATGTAGTTAATAGAAGCAAATACGGGTGCCAACCAATAGAGGACAAGATTGTCTATGAATTTCTAGACATGTTCACTGTAGCACTAGTCGAGTGCTCACCCAAAAATTACTTATTATAGAGTACTTCCACTTTATTCACACTTTCTTAAATTACGATCCAAGTCAAACCATGAAAAATTTTATGGGAAGGAGGAAGTATTTACTTGTTTGATTTTGTTAATGGATTAAGTGTTGGTCAATTAAAAGTTTCAGTTATCAACTAGTGTATAAAAATGAAACATATGATTATTATTTGGGTTCTGGTTACCATCAGGGCCGGCCATGGGGGGACGTAGCCTAGACATTTGTCTAGGGCCTCCAAATTTGGTAGGGCCTCCATTTTAAAAAATAATAATATTATATATACTTTAAATCTTTAATTAAATTAATTAAAATACTTAAAAATTAGTGTAGAACAAAAGATATGTTGATGCAAAAAACAAAATTATCAAGATTAACCATGTTCGGTTATATATTAGAAAATAATGACAAATATAGATCTAAATAAGAGTGAATAAAATATGTCTTTTTAACTTTAGTGACTATAACTTTAATAATCATGATTGTGTTAACTATAATGCATATGCATAAACAATAATTCAATATCCTAATTCAAATATATTTAGAGAGATAGTTTTGATGTGTACATATATAATGAGTTATAAATGTATTATTTTAATATTTTATTATCAAATTGTCACTTAAGAGGGTTAATTGTTCTCTAAAATAGAAAGTGAAAACATTTAGTTTAAATGTCTAAATTAGGATGTCCTTTAAATTTTTAGGCCCCAACCCTCCCCCAATTTGTAAAATAGTTATATATTTTTATATGTTAGAAGATTGTGTAAAAGATCATCAGGAAAAAACTAACCAAGCCACGTTAATATTTCTTTTTGGCTATGTCATTCCTATTTGTTTCTTATTATAGTTTTGTATTTTTCTACTAAAATATATATTGAAGTTATATTCTCTCTACTCCACTAAAATTGTCTCATCTTTCGTTTTCAGCCTATGCATTAAGAACGTCACATATCAAATTTGACAAAATTTGTGTGGTTCTAAATCATACTTACTTTATCACTTCAATATCAACCATATAAACTAGCTTTTCTTAATAATTGTAAAACTTTATCATAACCTAGCATTAGTGAGACGTGAGTACGTTGTATCTTATGATTAAATACGAAGTATTATTT